AGTTCTGAACCGTACCCTGCGTAAGGGGGGTGATCCGTCGAAGGTCTGATGATGTTCCTCTGGTGTCATCGGGGGCATCGTTACTGCAGTACCTGAAAGCAGAATTGCGCGCTTGAACAACGGTCTGCGCATCGACTGTACGGATATGCTCTGTCCTCCCGCACTCTGGCCAATGATTGTGACATTGCTTATGTCACCACCGAATCCTGTCATATTATCTCGCAACCACTCGAACGCAATTTCCTGATCATAAAGTCCATTGTTTTCGGGCAGAAGGTCCGCGACTCGATTGCTATGCCAGAAACCCAAGGCTCCAAGTCGATAGTTGATCGCCACAAAGATAATGGGAGTACCGCGATTGTGCGCATGTTGTACGAGATTGGCTGGATTGTAGTAAGGTCTGTTTCCAGACCCCACGATAAACGCGCCCCCATGGATGAATACGAGAATTGGGACATGTGCGTCTTTTCGTAAATTGTTGTCTTCATCCAGACATGCTAGTGGAAGATGAATCGAGAGGTTGAGGCAGTCTTCTGACTGTCCTTCGTTGTCTTTTAGGTTATCAGTTGGTAGAGGTATGCTCTCCGCATCGGACTGCACGCTTCCCCACGGCTGGATGCTGGATGCACCTGGCTTAGAGGCGTCGAAGACGCCGTTCACATGACGCGCATTCTCGGTGTCGTTGAAATGCCGCACTACCTTGGATCGGGCGAAGCGCTGCGGGATTGTGCCATACGGTAAACCTTGGATTTTCAGCAGCGATGCAGCAGGATTATGGAGACATTTGATCGCGCCCAGCTTGTCATGGGTGATGATGATGTCGTTCATGATGAAGGTTATTGGCTTGGTTGAGCTGGACATGTTTCAGTGTTGAAGTCAAACGAGCGGATGATGATTTTGGAAAATTGTGACGTCATACGCGAAATTTGCGCCACCAGGCGCCCATTCATCATGTATTCATCGGCATTACCATACGCGGACTTGGGGGAACGCTGGGTCTCTTGGTGAACATTCAATATGACTACCGCCAGATCGTGTTGCAACTCAACACACAGTCGCAATCTGTCCAATGGACCAATGGAGACATCAAGGAGGAAAGAATGGTCTAGCCTTGCATCTCAATGCCGCCTGAGCCATGAAGACACTCTCCAGTGCAGTAGGAACCCATTGGTGAAGCAAGATAGACATAGGCTGTTGCCATCTCAACCGGCATCCCAGGCCTATTCAGCGGACAAGCACCAACACCGAGGGACTCCATTGCATCGGCCGGTACATTTTTCGTTGCCGGCTGTAAGGGCGTCCAGCTATACTTGACTTAGTGCACATCATGGTATGTAATCAAGTAGTTGCAAGCTATACTCACATGATACCTGGTGCGACGGCGTTCACTCTAATCCCGTTCTTGGCCTGTTGTTGAGCAAGACCACGCGTGAAGGTTGTAATTGCACCCTTGGTTGAGGCGTAGTCGAGAAGAGATGGATTGCTCATGTATGCTGCGACAGAGGAGCTGTTTACGATACTGTCGCCACGCCTCATGTGCTTGAGAGCGTACTTTGACATCGCAAACATGGAAACAATATTAGTCTGGAAGGTCTTCTCGGTCACATCAAGGTCAATATCTTTGATGTCTTCACATGCTTCTTGCATGGCGGCTGTAGCGGTACATCAACATTGTATCCAGACCACGCTTCCGCTAGCACTTACCGTTGTTCACAAGGACATTAAGCTTTCCAAATTCCTTCATGTGTCTTTCAACAGCCTTCTCGCAATTGCTTCGGACCTTCAAGTCCAAAGACATGAGATTTGCCTTGCGTCCAGCCTCCTCAACCTTCTTCTTGACATACTGCGCATCCTCCTCTTCTTCTGGTAGATACACGATACTAACATCTGCACCTTCTCTCGCAAAAAGAATGGCAACAGCACGTCCAATACCTAACAGTGGCTCAGCCTTTTCATCATTTCTGTGTTATTGAGGCAAATACCTGAATCGCCACCAGTAATCAACGCAGCCTTGTTATTGAGCAAACCACGGCCTTCGTATTCCTTGAGATACGGCTTCTGGTTCTCGTCCCAGAACTCAAGACGCGACCATTCTGCTTTTTCTTTCGTCTTAGCATCTAGTCCTGGGCCACCAGACTGAGACTGCGCAGATATTGAGGTTGCCGGATAGGCTGTAACGGGTTCGTCTGTGTTGCTCATGTTGCAAAATGTGCCTGTGCAGTCCTAATCGGGATTGGTAGTGCGGATGAAGATCAGCAGTGATTGAAAAATGAAATTTGAAGATTTAAGATGAACTGCTGGAAAGGTGGGTGATGTTTGGGTGCTAATCTATACAACTGGTGGGGTCTACAATAACGCACATCGTCATCAATCGTCATTTATTCACAACTTGTCATTATCATCGCAAAACGTCACGCTATGCAAATAGACCCTATTGAAGATGTGGGGAGTGATCTTGATTTAGGGCTGTCGCCGCTAGAAAGCCGGTTTTACAACACGCGTCACATCAATTCGTACCATGTACAATGATTACCAACAGTAGGTAGTAGGTACAGAAATTATGGTTATGAGCGCCTTCATATTTGAAAATCGGGGTTCATCCACACGTGGAAGCAATGTGAAATTTACCACAACCAGGACCGATACCCTCATGTGTTGTTGGGAAACTTGCTGGGGGGAGACATCAGTTTCTAGCACTTGGATGTACAACTTTCGAGGGTATGACTAGTCCTGAGTAGGAACAGATAGTGTTATATATGAATGGTCAATAAAATATCATTTCCTAGTAGGTTGTTCGATGGATTTCAAGGGTTCGAAGAGTCGATGGCCGTGGACATTAGCTTAGGGAGGCCGTGATTATGCATGTGAGATGTGGAATAGTGATATTCTTTCAAATGATATCATCTCTATGGAGGGAAATAATGGTGTCATTACTACATACCATTCATTTCCATATCCATGAACCACCATCGTAATCTCAGTCTGCGTGAGACGCGCGCTCTTGGGTTGCAGTAGTCGCAGGGAACTCTCGCGAATCTCTGCCTTCATCAGGGAGCTTGCTATCATCCACGTGCGATCTTGCAGCCAATTGCTCGGCCGCACCCGGAGCAAAGTCACGATACTCAGAGCTCGTGCCCAGTCGGAAGCCCAAATAAATGGTCATGAGGAAAGTTGCGCAAAGCATACCGAATACGGTCCACTGTGACAACGATTAGCTTCATGGTATGCGATTGGGAGAAAGATTTGACAGAACTTACATTGCCCATGGGATAGTTGGGACCGTCGGTACTTGGAAATAAGAAGGGTGCGCTAATACCGCCGCAGTTCGAGATGGCAATCGTGACACCAGTAGCAAGTGCTGTTGCAGTAGATCCAGAAACAGTCGCGGTACGGTGAGCCAGAAAGGGCATAACGGCAGAGTTGGTACATGCAATCAGGAAAACAGCAACGTAACGGCCAATCCAGTTGGTCAGCACAGCGAGCAGCAGATAACCTGTGCCAACGAGGACGAGAGCCGCCAATGCATGACGAATGCGCTCCTTTGAGTAGTCAGAATGCAAGCAGTTACTCAAAATGATCAGTAGACCAAAAGCATTTGGAGGAACTGTCAGAAGCTGCCCAATGTATCCCTTGAAGCCAAGGTTGGCAACAATGGTCGGTGAGAAGTAACTGAAAGCGTTCAAGCTGTTGACCATGAAGAAATAGCTAACTGCGTATACCCAGAACAGCGGGTCAAGAAGAGTCGCTTTTGCAGCCTTGATATCGAAGGTTTTATCCTCCTTGTTCGGCGCAAAAGGTCCCATGCGAGCGATTGCAAACGCACGCTCTTCCTCGGTGAAGAACTTGGCATCCTGCGGATAGTCTGGCATCCAGATCCATACAACTATACCGAACAAGACTGCAGGAATTCCGGTGAGGATGAAGAGCCATTGCCAGCCTGCGATGCCAGCTTTGCCGTTAAGGAAGGAGATACCAGTAGCGAGGAGACCACTAAAGGCTCCAGCGACCGCGACAGAGCCTGCGAAGATGGCCAGACGGGTCGCACGCTCAGATGGTTTGTACCAATAGCAGAGATACATGACAACGCCGGGGAAGAAGCCAGCTTCAGCGACACCCAAGAAGAAGCGGACAGCCAAAAGGCCCCCAAAGGTCGAGACGGCGGATGTACAGATGGTAATGATGCCCCAGCTGATCATGATGCGGCCAATCCAGATTGATGGCGAGAAGTATTTCATCGCGAAGTTGCTTGGCGCCTCGAAGACGACATAAGGAACGAAGAAGACTGCAACAGCGATGTTGTAACGGTTGCCTGTAAGATCCAGTTGTTTGACAATGTTGCTGCCAGGAAGGTCATTGTTTAGCGTGCGCGCGTTACCAAGGTTGACCTTGTACGCATTAGCAAAACCATTATTGCACTTGCTTCCATAAGATACTCACGCGATCAAGGAAATTTATCAAATAACTGATGCAGATGAATGGCAGAATCCGTGTGTCGATCTTCCGCACGATGCGCCGTTCCAGAGCCTTGTCGTTCAAGTCTGGTACATATGTCGAGCCCACGCCAAAGTCACGTTCCACGTTGGACGACTCTTCGTGCTTGATGTCTTTCGCCGCCATCTTAGTTGCGATATCTCGGGTTATGTCAGGCCGATGGGAAGGACGACGGTCCGTAATCGCGAATATGCGGTGACGACCGTTCTGGAGAGCGGACGACGTCCTTTTCAATGCAACCTACTTTCGGTCTCATGGTTGCCTTTGGGGAGATCTGTTATAGCAAGCGACAGCGTTAACCTGGGGAGGGGAAAGATAACAAAAGATAAGATTCAAAGGTGTTCAAGATAGCATGCCCGTATCATGTATCCATGGAAATGCTCTGCTAATTTCGACACCTGATAGCGTCCTTTTCCGTGTGGGGTGTTGTAACGGCGACAGTACAGCCAATCACTAACGTTAACGCCTGGCTTTGCCGGGAAAGTAACGTTAGCCGATGCGACGTCGCGCAGTTCAACCGAAGTGTTCCCGTAGCCGACCACGAGATACTTGTACTACTCATGGCCCTTCCAGCTTCTATAACGGATTCTGATTGGCCATGGACTACTTGCATGCGATTGTACACATGGAGCTTTTTATTCATACACGTTTGTAGTGGTATGACCACGTGACAGTCGAACCATCGGATACCATCTTCTTACTATACTACCATACACATGGGGGCCGGCATTCAGGAGCCAGGAAGCGCATACCCTACCATGGTGTGCAACCACAGATATCTCGAGATGAACCAGATTAGAGTTTCCAAAAGGTCAAAGTAAAAACCCAAATGTTGATCTAATCTATCCTCGGTTATTGTCACAAATCACTTGACGACGAGGGACACACAGTCAGACGCAACAACTTTTCGCGGCTCGTAAGCCAACACCTTACTGGTAACTCATCCACCATAGAGCATTTCCTCTTCTTAACGTGATAGTCTAGACTTTGTATTGTTTCCTGGATACGAAGGCAGAATGGTACAATAGTCTACAATCATTTAGACAAACGAACAGTCACGAAAGAGCAGTCACAACCGGAAGAAAGATCTTCACAAGACACATGAAAAGATGAGGGACAACTGCGTCGCATGTTGCGACGTTGAATGGTATAATGGTATATATCAAGAAGAGAATAGTGATGGTCGTTCCGAAGCCCAATCGAAACTATGTGCGACCAATGTATAGAAACAAAATGCCCATCCCAACAAATCATGAAGTTCCTAGCCAAGATGATGCCTTTTTCTTAAAGCGCCTGGCCAAAGAAATACCCCGAATCCCGAAAACGCAGTCGTTAAAATCGCATAGTACGAAGACGTCCTAAGAAGCAAAATCCCTGGCGTGGCTCCTGCGAGTCTTGGAGACAAGAGCACTGGCGACAGCGGCAAGTTGAGGGCCGGGCGCGTCTTCGATGATCTTGCCGGCCTCGTGCCAGTAGAGATCCCACTGGAGTAGCGCATCGTCTTCGTGGTAAATCTCAGTACCGAGTTTGCCTTCCGGTACGCTGGCGGAGTCGTCACCACCGGTTACCTTGATGTTGAAGGCCTGAGGCCAGAATTGCCTCTGGGAGACGTCGCCATTGTTGTGGATCGAGGCGACCTCGGTACGAAGAACGTAGTTGCCGCTGGGGATTTCGCGGGGAATGGTGACTGTCTGAGCGTTGCCATTGTCATAGAAGATGGCGTCAGTGGCCCAGTAGCCAGTCTGGCCCTGAGCAGCACCGTCAGAGTAGCGCCCCTTGCGGTAGTCTAGCAGAGCGCTCTGATGAATCTTGAAGAACTTGAGCTTGGTCTTGTCGACCTTGGCGCAGTCACCGTTGCATGGGGCGAGGTAGGTGGCTGTCCAGCCGTGATGGCTGCAGTCCCAGCCATCCTCGCTTCCGCCACAGGTGCCCTCGTGGTGCCAGTGGAAGGTGACGTCCTCTCCAGCTGGAGCCTCGACGGTGTATGGGGAAGGTGAAGCGTCCATGTGGGCAATGATGTCCGGGTGGTGCAACTTGTCGCCCAAAACGGGTTGGTAGCCCCAGGACTGGTTGGTCCACCACGCGGGTGACTTGTTGCCAGGATCCTGCTTGGATGCTTGACGGTATCCTTCGTAGCTCTTTCCGCCAGCTTCGAATTCCTCGACGCACGTGTGGCCAGACACGGTGGCGAGAAGGGCTGCAAGGAGGGCAGTGGTTTGGAAAATCTTAGACATGATGAAGTGCAGAAATGAGGATATCTTTGTCAAAAAGATGGGGGTATGTGGTGAGTAGTTGGAAATGAAGGTTGGCGAGTGTTGATAGCTCCAGAGCTATTGGAAAGAGTGACTAGTCAAAAGTGACTGAGATAAAGAGTGGCGGTGCAAGATGCGTAGTCAAGAGAGAGAGAGTCGTGAACAAGAGGAAATAGGTCTCCTTTTGAGCTGTCCCAAAAAAGCCAAGGTACCATTTTGGAGGCGGATGCTTTGTTCCTGGATCCAGCGCTACAAGGTCAACTTAGTTGGCACTAAACGTAGGTACGAACGGGCTAGAATTTAGACACAGACTCACAGCTGCCTCATCCGACGACTGTCCAGTACAAGTAGATGCATACATGCATCCACTGGGCTATACTCTGGGTTGTGTTGGACATTATGCCCAAGCGTCTGCATCTGTGGAGCGGTCCACGATGTCTTTCACAACATGTGGACACCACTGCCAGCGAATCCCAATCCCTTGGAGTGGACCACGACTCTACCGAAATACGCAATTAGTCGAGTTTTGGCGAACCACAGCGCCTAGCATTGTTGGTGTTTACGTTTCGAATGACTTGTTTCTGTGGTCGGATCATCAACAGGGCCCGCTGTACGAGGACAAGGGCTATGACGGATCATCCGCTGCCGCTCGACGCCGCCGTTTCAGCCACCAGGCATCAGGCACAAGGAGCGTACATTTATCGATAGAGCACATGTTCATGGGCCGCAATTTCTCAACACATCTTGAGTGGATGCGGAGGATTTTGCAGCTGAACACAGGGGCCAAGACCGCGGAGCAAACTCTTTTCAAGCGCTTTTAGCACAGCCCGACTCGCATGGCTGGGCCCAGCTGAGTTGGCCGTGAATTGCGCTTCGTTTGTTGTGAGCCTGAGGTTTTGTGCACGGCAGCCATTGGATAATTGGAAATCACTCCTTTCAGTCTTTGTTCAGCTGTCTAGGAACTCTTTGTTGTCGCACAGATAGCTTTCACTCATGATAACCACCTTTGGACCTTGCCTACGTACCGTACACACAAGCGACGACGACGACGACGACGACGACGGAAAGCCGTGAGCGAATCACGCTGCCCCAACACCTATACACAACATGCGCCCAAATCAAATGCACGTTATAGTTGGTGCGGGCCTTCGATGCAGTCATCCTCTTTGCACAGCGATACCCCGCCACCCGCCCTTGGCCTTAAACCTTGAAACCTTCCTGTTGTGCGATCGAGGATGTGTTACCGCCTCCGCGATAGACTAAGCTGTTGGCCCTACACGGCATCTCCAAGACACTCGACCTCTCGTCAGTGTGCTCTCTAGTACATAGCCACACATTACGACACCCCCCCTTCGGAAGACTGGTAGCATGGTTGTCGTGAAGCAGCAAATGAGGAAGCAAAGATGATACATTAGTATGACTATGCAGTTAGTCGCTGCGACAAGGATAGACTTTGCTACAAGCGAGGTTCTCCGTTGATGACGGCATTGCGATTGCCAGATGCGCTTTGCTGGCGCGTTATCTAGTTGCATCTTAGCAGGCACATGGCGTCTGAAGATGATCAGTCATATCTTGTTTCGGTGCCGAAAACCTCCCATTTGTCGTTCACGATGATGGCTCTGGTAAGGAGCCACTCATAACCCGTGCTTGGCTCTGCGGCGCTTGCGTACGGTACGCCTGGTGTAAGTTCTCGCCAGGTAATAGACGAGTTGTGAGAGAGGGGTAGGTAGGTACTTCGTCTCTCGTGCTCGAGGTTAAGTTCCGCATCCTTATAACAGCATCATGCATCAGTGAGCGATTATTCCCTGCGCGTCTCAAATCAGCTGCTAGACATTGTTTCCCACAGTATGCAACGACGAAATGAACGCATCTGAATCCACCCAAGCAAAGGTACTCTCGTGTATCGGCTGCAAACTGCGGCCACTGTCTTTCTCTTCCTCCAGAGCTTCATCCATGGCCCGACCAAGGCAATATTCCAGTTCAGCCTGAAAGATTACATGCGTATAAACAAGAGCCCAAAGCATCATCCCACACCATCTACTCACCTATCCAAACAAAGTAGACTATGTTCCGGGTGAATATCCACCATTGACTAATCATGACCTGTGTGACAACACTCCACGGAGAATTTCCCCGGGCATCGGCGGTCCAGTTGCCAACCGTGGGTGCCATGCATTGCTGAAACTTGAGACATTCGCTTGACCTTCTCGTAGTTTGCTTGGTATACGGATAGGTCGATGTCTTGCCTTCATGCAGCTAGATAAATGACAACACAGACATGCAACTCCCTACAGACATGTATCGAAGCTCCGAACAGATAATCACCGAAACCACGAGGCACACATGCATCCCATGTTTGTTTTCACTCTTTTGATTACGAAATATCTCGACTACCACATCACTTGCCAACCTACACCTGTTTTTTTATTAAATCGGTAGAAAGGACTCAGCTCTCGACGTCTAAGCAATATTCCTAAATCGAACTCATATTTTCATCGCTTATAATTGATATATAGGGCATGAAGATCAGTTCTGAGGCCATCTACACCACACGCCTGGATCCGCAATATGCACATTTTGCTTTTTCTTGGTTAAGCAAAATGAGAACACACAGCATGTGCAACCAACACGACGGCTTTTGGAGATGCCAGTACACTGCTTGGCCACGATCAATATCTCCTCATGAAGATATATCAAGACACAACTTTATACATGTTTACAAGGCAACCACTTCTCTCCAGTTCTCCAGCATCACAAGAAGTCACAAAGGGACACAAAGGGGTCGATCATCATTGCGTTTCACATTTCATAACATACATTTTAAACATTACCACATCGGCCAACTACTTCCTCCAGTACTTGCCCTTGCCCTTGCCCCACTTGGGCTTAACGACAAAGACACCACGGTCAATAGTATTGATGACAATGTAACCAGAGTCAAAAGTATAGGCCGACCAGGTCCCGGCATCCCACAGTGCATCGCCACCACCGGGTTGCGCGTCATCAGGAGGGTACACGTCAAAGAAGGCAATTTCCTCGACCTTGGACGCATCTGGGAAGCGCGGAATGGAGCTGACGTCCAGAATGCGGAGGCCGGCCTGGTAGTTGGATTGGTAAGATAGACCGTCGTAGACATACTGGTTGTGGTCGACGGAGCGGACGCCAGTCTTGTACAGGCCCGTCATCTTGGGGGCTTCAAGGTTCTGGATGTCCCATACGTAGGTTACGGCGAAGCCGTCTTTGGCTGGGGATCCGACGGCCGTGCGATTGGGATCGATTTGGCCCTCGTCGAGTTCATCGTCCATGACGAGATGGGTTTGCCAGTTTGGATCGAGGACCCAGCCCTGGTGGGTGTAGGAGGCGCCAACGTAGGCTGTGCGCGAGATGATGGCAGCGGCCCCGACACCTTTTTTGTTGGTGACGTCGTAAATGGTCAGCGTGTCCTCGTTGTAGCCGTAGCAAATGTCACGGCCGTAGTACTTTCTGTGCGGGCCACGGTAGACGATGCATTGCATGTCGTGGCAGTAGCCGTCTTGGGGCGCGCAGCCCTCGACATAAGGGGCTGTGGGGTCGTCCATGTTGATGAACATGGGGCCACCGGCGCAAGTGTCGTTGCGGCCGGCGCGACCACCCGAGCCACAGGCGACTGCATAGCCGAGCTCTTCGTTGGCGATGACAGTGTGCGTACGTCCCTTGATGCCCTGGTTGATGTCCACGAGAGCAACATCCTTGTGGATATCAAAAGTGTAAGGCTTCTTGGGCGAAAGCTTGAGCAGCTTCTTCATGTCGAAAACCTGAACATGGTGGCCGGCACCCTCGGATCCGACGATGAGGTGATCTCCGACCTTTTTGATCTCGCGCCAGATGACAGAGTCGTTGTTGGCGGGAAGGCGGCCAAGGTATTCGAGCTGACCATCCTTGGTAATCTCGGAGAAGGAAGCACCATAAGTCTGGCCAATGGCAATAAAGTCACGGCCTTTGTGGCTCCATCCCCACGAACCAGAGCCCTCGCCAATGGCGTCACCGAGCTCTTCGTGTGTCTTGAAGTCGTACAAGTCCTGTCGATGGATGAATACAGCAGGTTGCACAACATGGAGGGATAGCACTCACAATGTTGCGGCATTTGTACGTCTGATCTGCGTCGCCTTTCACGGCCTCCACGCGACCATTTTTACACTCAATCTTGTGTTTATTGGCACGCTTCTTGTGGAAGCCGTTCCATTTCTTGTTGTCGTACTTGCCAGCAGCCCGTGCCTTGGCCCATGCGGACTGCAAGATATCAGTATTCGAACAGGATGGAGATTTCCTCTTGGACTGACCTCTTTTCCCTGCATCATGAGCTCCATGACTTCTCCCGACGCATACTCGGCGCGTGTGAAGCCAGAGGCCGCAGCCAAAGGCAACGCCGCCGTTACAATAGCAGCCCACTTCATCTTGGTGCACAACGGGTGGCAGTTGATGAACCAAGAACAATGGGTGCACACGCATGGTATCTTATAGCTACTGTCCACGATTTAGAGTTACCGTGCATATGCATTGTGTTGCTTGAATCGGTCGCGTGCGATACGCCCTCCGGTACTATCGCCAGGATACCTTCCTATCGCAGGCATTCCGAAATGTCACCAAGACCGTATCAAAGCTTGAGCATGGGAACGACTCGAAATAAGGTGGGCCGCGATGCTTGGAAAGTGCATTGTCAGTTGGCGAGTGGACGTTCATTCGTCCTAGCTCCAGGCGTCGACTTGGCAGGTATTCAGTCTGCGGTTCGAGAAGGGTTGGCTCCTATCTCGAAGATCTCGTGTAGGAGTTTTGCGGGGCCATTCCGTATGTTGTGCAAGCCACTCTAAGGCTATATTCAAGCAATGAAGTTGATAGGCAGGCTGCCTGGCTGAGGTTTGCCCGCTTTAGGAAGGTAACGTTTGATGCCAAGCGGGCAAGAATTGCACTTGCGCCACGTTCATGGTTTCCATGAGTGCCTGAACTGCCAGGCAGGACTCTGGTGGGGATAGTAGTAGTCCAGGACAGGATGGACGGCAATGGCATGTGTTTCCTTGTACAGTGCCGTAGATACTATTGCTGCTTACTCTTATCGCGAAGGGTGTTATTGTGGCGGTATGGTACCGTAGGCTGGCGGCTTGTGTCGTTTGATGGCGGGGCACGGCGTGTAGGCATGCCGTCGATGGATGGAATCGAGAGGCGCGGGTGTAGGCAGGCGACCAGGTTCGCGGGAAGAGAATAGAGGTATAGTATGGCAGCAAGGAGAGGAGGAATCTCTGCAATCACAGCTGGGGGCGGTGGCCAGGTACATGTAGAGTAGTATGTAGAGTACGGAGTATAGTCTTTCGAAGATGATGTCGAACGGACAAAAGGGCCGGGCTTGGCTCCTCGGCTAAACTTGCAGGCCTCACTGACGTCCCGGAGGCCGGAGGGAGAACGGAGGGACGAGTAGGGACGAGTACGGGGACCGGCCATGTCATGTGAGCAGCACATGCACTGCTCCCCATCTTGCGACCTGGCGACCGTCGACATCATGATCATCACCGAAGACTCGCTGTACCGCAGCTCAACCCAATTCAAGCACTGGTCCTTTACCCAAGCCCAACTCGATGCCCAGCGGCGGACCACCAACCTTCTAGCAACAGAGCGCGTCAAAGCCAATGTCGCGCGTCTTCGTGCCCAACGCGCCGAACACGACGGTGCAACGTCTGGGGTGGACAATGGCAGTGGGACGAGCACGCCGCTGGATCCTGGCGCAGAAACAACGAGCGATCTGGTCTGTCTGACGGCCGAGGACGAGTTGAAGATAGTCGACGACTTTTGCGAGAGGGCCGTCAAGCTGGGCACGCATTGCGGATACAACTACAACGTCATGGTAAGCTTCTTTTTCGCTCTCTCTCTCTCTCTCTCTCTCTCTCTCTCTCTCTCTCTCTCTTACTCACCCAATCCATCTTGCCCTTGCCAGTCAGACACGCATGTATTGACATGTCAGCCAGGCGACATGCATACAATACCTCCGCCGCTTCTACCTCTACAACTCGCCCATGACCTACCACGTCCAGAACATACTGCGCACCTCCCTCTTCCTCGCCACAAAGTCTGAATTCCTGCGCGAAAACGTCCAAAACTTTGCCGCAAACTCTGGCCGGAACGTGACAGCCGAGTCCATTCTCGCGCCCGAACACCTCGTCATGCAGGGTCTCCGCTACAATCTCGACGTGCGCCACCCCTTCCGTGGCCTCAAGGGCGTCCACCTCGAGCTCGTCCAGATCGCCCACGGCAAATACGATGGCCCAGGCGACAATGGCACAAGCGCCGACATCCAAACCCGCATGCAATCCCTCCCTTCGACCCCCGGCGGCCCTGCCACAAAATCCACCGTCGCAGCCCTCGAGGCGCGCATCACAGCCGCCTACACACATGCCAGCCGGACTCTCAAGACAGCTGCCCTCTACACAGACGCCTACTTCCTCTACACACCCTCGCAAATCATGCTCGCCGCCCACCTCCTCGCAGACGAACCCCTCACCCTCTTCTACTTCTCCCTCAAACTCCCTGCCGACTCCCCTATCCACGACAAACTCATGCACACCCTCCGCGCCTGCGCACAACTCCTCTCCTCGCATCGCCTGTACGTGTACACAACACTCCCAAAGTCCGAGCAAGAGACCCGGGAAGCGGCGCACCAGGCTGAGATCAAGGCACTCATTGCAAAACTCAAAATGTGCAGGGATCCAGACAAGGTCGATTTGGTTAAGCTGAATCAGGCACACAAGAGGGATGCAGTGGGAGAGGCGGGCCTCGACGAGCACAAGGCTAAGAAGAGAAAGTTGGCCCGTGAGGGCTATGAGAAGGAGAGTGATGCCTTTTGGGGACCCGAGCTGGCCAAGCCAAATTAATGTCTTTTCTTACGGAGAATAAGGAAGCTGCATGGAAAAGGCGTCTTGATAACCCGGTTTTGTTTTCATGGCCAAAAGGTACGGCGTATATATGTATTTGTAATGATCTTCATCTCACCAAGTCCTCTCCAGGGTAGAGCTGTCAAGGGAGATGCTGGCTTTCAGCTTTTTGCAATCGAGGATACCAAAACGAGAGAATTTCGATGGGCAGCTGCACGTGTTTTGTGATCGTGCAGCCCATCATTTAGCTCCATTCAACTGCTCACTGCCTTGTTCCTGCTGTTACTCTCCATATATGTGCAAACCATAAACATCCAAATATTCTGCATGAATAAACACCAAGACACAAGTCCAATGTCTGAATCTGGCACTCCCAATCAAATAATCCTCGTCTAATATCCAGTTTGCTTCCTTTTCTTGCCCGACCACCCTACTATCCTCTCCTATCCCTTCGGCCACTCTCAGCAAAATCAACATCATTGCCACTACCACTGCTGCCGTTCCCTGCTGCACCTCCAGTACCACTTCCACTCCTACCACCACCATTATTCTTGCTACCTTCCGTACCAAACATTGGCGCAACAGGCGCAATCCCAATACTCTTCTTAGCCCCCAACATCGACTTGCCCAAATACGCGCCAAACATGCCCGTGACCACCGGCCTGGCTTCTGCCGGGCTACCCTCAGAGTGACGAGAAACCACTTCTGTACTGCGCTTGGCAGGACGCTCAGAGGTCCGGCAAGGAGTGCCGCGTTCTCGCTCTCGCTCCCGGTTACGCTCCTCGATGCGTTTTTGGAGTTCGGCGGGTGCACGCTCGGTGCTGCGACCCGCTGCAATACGATCCGCGGTGTGCTCTTGGTCCTCCTGGTCGCGCGTACGAACCCTACCATGGGCTTGCTGGGCATTTGAACTCGATCCTATCCGAGAACTCGACGCGCTAGCTTCACCATGGCCGCGCCTCTCCAACTCCGCCTGTAGACTGTGGTGCAGGCCGAGAAACGGGCGGGGCACGACATCGGGATCAAAACACTTCCATTTGCGGAGAATCTCCGTTCTCGTAGTGCGGGCCTTCTCCTGGACTTGTGCCGTGCTTAGGTCGGAAATGAGTTTCTTCTTCGACGTGCCAGGGGTAGGCGAGCCGGAGGCTTTGCGCTTGTTTATGGTGGGCGAGGCAATTGGGGCAGCGGACGGGGAGGCGATGGCACTGAGAGTTGAAGGTGCTGCAGCTGGGGTGAGAGCTGGTACATTTGCACCTTGAGCAGGAGAGGTCTTTGTGACCAACGGCAAGGACTCAACACCAGTGATGGCGCGTGGCGTGGCCGCAATTGCGTTGATAGGAGCTGGATGTCCTTCTTCAATCGGCGCAGGCGAGTTATTCCTCAAAACTTGAGACTTCTTATCGCCAATTCTAATGATCTTGCTCTGGCTAGACGTAGGATGAGCTGGCGGAGGCGCAGATGGAGGAGTGCGCAATGGAAGGGGCTCGGAAGAAGTATGGACATGCTTGAGAAACTCAGGTTCGACATTGGTTGGCTTTCGACGCTCATATCGCTGGCGAACATGTGGATCTGAAGGCCGAAGCGCTGGAGCATCGTCTTCACCAATTTCAGACTCGGAAGGCGAGTCTTCGTCTTGATGTGAAAGGGCCGGGGCCGGTAGATCTTGCTCAGTATCGCTCAATTGTTCTCCTTCCCTATCCATCATCTCACTGTCTTGATCTTGACTTGGCAATTCTTGTACAGCTTTTTCACTGCTCTCAACAGCCCCCGTCGGTGATTTATCAATGTTGGCTTCAGTCCGCAATGGCCGAGCTACACCACCCCCCATCCGACCTTCTCCAGCCCAGTCACTGCGATACTGGACTGGTGTTCTACTCACTGTCGCCCCAAAAGCTGAGTCGAAGTCCTGAAGAACGTCTTTCAACTCGACAACCGCCTTGTGCATCTCCGGAAAGTCGCTTCCACAAGCCGAATACACCGAGACGACGTTCCAGCTTGCTACCATGAGATTGTCAAAGTTGGGAAAGGCAGCCGAAGCTATGTTGTTGAACAGATCAATCTTCGTTTGCTCAGGCACAGCAGCAAAGGTGGCAGCTTTGAGAGAAGCTGGAATCGAACATAGGCCGGCGACGGGACGGGTGTTGGTGATGTGGGGAGTAACTGGAGTATTGGGCTCACGCCTCCAGTGTTTCAGCGCTTCAACATGTTAGTACACGATGGAATGGAACGACTATGAATGTTACCCGGGGCTGAGAAGCCATCCTTTGACTTTTTTTTGGGAGCTTGGAGCCTTGAAAGTGTCTAGGACGGTCAGTACGGTATGCGATCCCTAATTCACATGGCTACAACAGTCGGCAGACCTGCTTTGATTGCCTGAAAATGAATTGACGTACCTCTCCACTAGCAATGCATACGGGACTATTGGGCGGAGAACTGTACGCCGATCTCCTGGCCTCATTGAGTATGCTAATGCGTGCCATGATCATGCCGATCTTCTTCTTGAACATTTCCACCATAGTTCGCGCAATGAAGCCATGAATAGCGACGTGGTCGAGGCTCTGCTCACTTTCTGCCAGGGCTTCTTCGGTGTGCATCTCAATCTTGCCGTGTTCAAAAATTAGATAGGCATGCAGGACGCCATGATTTTCCTCGGGAAAGATGACATTGCCCAGCTCAAAGCGAGACGCACTGGCCTTGAGCTTGACGAAGACCAGGTCAGGAGTGGTGACGCCGTTGATATTCTTGTAATCAGGCGGCTCAGGGTTGGCAAGACCATCAATGAAGCTGTCTAGATGCTGTGGGTCAAACCACCGCAGTTGGTCGCGCAAGATGAGCGCTCGCTTCTGCGCCGTGTTGAGAGAATTGAAAGTGGGCGCTTCGAGATCCATGGTGAGTGACGCTGAACTGCGAGGGTGACAATGATGTGCCCTGTACGGGCCTGCGCCACTTGTTCTGAGCCCTTTGCGTACCCAATATTTCTTCAGCGGTTACCTACTATCTGTAATGGCCGACAGAACGAGAAGACAAGGGGTCAGATGTGACCGAGAGTTATCAATGGAGGCTGCTCAGTGTGAAGAACAGGCGGCAAAAAAAATAAAAAATAGAAAGAGCGTGATATGTAAACATGCCCAGGATCCAACCAACGCGCACTCTCACTTGAATGTCGCTATACGCACGCTTCATCACGCAGGTGAAGGCGGCGCAAACGGAAACTCCCCTCTTACCCGTTTTGTCCGGCAACAATGTCGACTGGTGCTAGCTACGCTGCTCATGTACGGACCGGTAGAGTACAGGATACGTCATGTAGATGTATAAAATTGGCCAAACCCTACGTTCTATAGGCAGTTCGAATCTACGTGAAGATGACAAGCATTGGATGCAAACATGCAAGACCAGAAAGCCATTTGAAATTCAGACGATACGACGCCGAGTCATTTAGATAAATGAAAGCCCATGACACCGTGTTTATACGTGGAGAAGAAGAAATCTGCATTTTGGAGAGAAGAAGTAAGAGAAAGGTTTTAGCACGTTGAGTCAAGTAGATAGGGATGAAGGAGCATGAAATGGACTACGATGTGACAGGCAATCAAGGGTGGAAGTGTATTGCCACCGTGTCTATGAGTAAATCCTACTTGTAGAGGGGCTCTAAGCACGCATCCGATGACTCGGCTGTTCTGTTAGCAGGTTTACAAGTATAGACCCTCTGGCTCGCCCTCAGTCTTGGTCTTCAGTACCCTCTCCCTGGCAGTGCGGAAGTCTTCCATGTTGACACGCATCCTTCGCTCGCGCAGCGCCATGAGACCGGCTTCGGAGCAGATGGCCTTGATGTCAGCACCAGAAAGATCGTCTTTCTGGTTGATAAACTCGTCAAGATCAACGTCCTCGTTGAGCGACATCTTGGATGTATGGAGAGTGAAGATCTTCTTCTTGGTCGTTTCTGTTCATGTATTAGTGGGTGTAAAATTCAAAGTGCCTCGCAGAACGTACGATCCGGATTTTCAAAGAGAATCTTCCTGTCAATACGTCCAGGACGAATCAGGGCGGGATCCAGCGTCTCAATCTTGTTGGTAGCCATGATGACCTTGACATCCCCACGATCATCAAACCCATCAAGCTGGTTGAGAAGCTCCAACATGGTTCGCTGAATTTCACGCTCTCCTCCAGATGTTGACTCGTATCTTTTCGTACCAATGGCGTCAATCTCGTCGATGAAGACAATGGAAGGCGCATTCTCTGCAGCAGTCTGGAACAGCTGTCGCACTAACCTCGGACCGTCTCCTAGGTACTTTTGAATCAGCTCACTTCCTACGATACGCAGAAAAGTAGCGCTGGTCTGGTTTGCCACCGCCTTCGCCAAGAGTGTCTTTCCGGTACCAGGAGCACCGTAGAGAATGACACCTTTCGGAGGCTTGATGCCCATCTCCTCGTACAGCTCTGGGTGCAGAAGGGGAAGTTCAACAGCTTCTCGCACTTCCTGAATCTGTTGCTCCAAACCACCAATATCTGCGTATGATTCTGTGGGCGCCTTGTCCAGCTTCATGACCGATACCAGCGGATCTGCGTCGTCTGTGAGCACACCAACCACCGACACCGACTTGTGATGCAGCAAGATGCTGGCACCTGGTTCCAGAAGGTCCTTGTCAACGAACGACATGATGGAGACGTAGTATTCGGGGCCGGTAGCGCTGGACACGATGGCGTGATCGTCGTCGATGAGTTCCTCCAGGTTGCCGACACCCATGGGGCTACCACGCATGTCGTCTACCCGCGACCGCTCGTCTGCATTCCTGTCTTCGGCACCCTCGGCGCTAGAAGGAGCAGGCGCATTGCCTTCCTTGACAGCCTTGGCTTTCCTCAGCCGCTCCTGGTTCTCGACATATTCTTCCTCGAGCAGTAAGTGATCGTGGATGCGCTGCATTCGTAGGTAACGCAGCTTGCATCGTGCGGTCGGGTAGACAGTGGGGAGCTTCGCGGCAGCGCTGGGGCCGGCCTGCTTCTTCTTCTTCCTGCCAATGCGCGTGGTAGGTTGTGGCGGTGGCTCGTACTTTGGTTTATCCTTCTGTCGTGTCGTCAGCGCCGTTCCGTAAATGCGAGGCTGGCGGCCATGCCAAAGCCATCAACAGAGCCTGGGTGATGTGACATACCTTGTCCCCAGCCTTCTTGTTCTTATCATCACCGGGCGCTCCTCCTCCGGTGCTTGACTGCTGGTTGCCCTAGATTTGTGTTGTGAGCACTTGCTATCAATCTAGGATCGAGGGGAGGCAAGCTCACCATGACGCGTGGTCAGGTACTTGTTGTGTCTGCGTTCCAAACTATGTGTGGATGCCGTGCGCCAGAAGAGTGGATGTGAGTAACAGAGGAGCGATGGCCGATGGCGAGGTGCGTCGTCGTCGTTGTCGCTGTCGTCTTCGTCTATCGTCCGTGTTTGCAATGTCGTCGTCGATGGGTGGCCGCGGTGACAAGCTGCAATTCGGCGCGAGGGCAAAAACAGCCTAGTGCAGAGACTGCAACACTGTGGCGTCCCGTCATCAGCCACAGCAGCACTGCCACACTTGCCGCTGTTCCCAGCCGGGCTGTCCTGCTCCCATACAACGACAGACACGTCAGGCTCGCCCCGATCAGCCATAAAACACCATAGTATCACCACATTGCATGTCAAAAGGGCAAAGAGAGTCCTTCTGCTTCTCCCACCCAGCCTTGCATCCATCCCAACACTTACCTCCCATTTCTGCCCACCGTCTTCAGCTCTCACACACGTGACAACTCACCACCATCCAGTCCAGTCCATCCATCCAAGTCCACACTTTCTCCCACACGTCCTCCACTACACACCCGCCCCGCCCCAGTGAACCGCTCTTCTTCCCAACCGCAGCTTTCCCATCCGCATTCCCGAGGTCAGGTACTCTTGACGGTGCCGTATCATCCACACACCCGCCCACCCCAACGTTCCACCGCCATTCAGATCGAGGTATAACAGTCTCCCGTGACGTTTCCCCTCCCCTCCCCACGCCTGCCAGACGCCCCCATTGCGCCATCCCCCAACTTCCAGACTTCTTGCCTGGTTGGACGTCAACAGCCCACCCAAACACAGCCCTCCACGCCTCTGTCGGCTACGCTACACTCGTGCCTCAGGCTGACCAGACAATAGGGCTAGCTCCTACTTGCTGCCTACTTGAATCCCCCACTCCGCCCGCGCCTCTTGTCTAACTTGCGTCCCTTCTTACCGCTCCACGGCCCACCCATACGCACACACACAGACACACTCACACAGACATACATACACACGCACACGCGCACACGCACGGACGATGGCATCAAATCGGGCGAGGCGAATTGCAAAAGAGCTTGCCGACATCAACAACGACCAGCTCTCCCAAATCATAGTCGAGCCGGCTGGCAATGGCGATGACCTTACACATTTGCGGGGCCAGTTCTTCGGCCCTCCAGACACACCGTACGAGGGTGCCACATACTTTGTGGACATCAAGATCCCCACAGACTACCCGTTTCGACCTCCAAACATGAAGTTCGAGACCAAAATCTGGCACCCCAACGTCAGCTCGCAGACGGTTCGTAGCTGGCTTTCGAGGATGACGCGTGACTTATTTACTGACACACCCAGGGCGCCATCTGCCTAGACACCCTCTCCTCGCAATGGTCCCCCGTCCTCACAATCAAGAGTGCCCTTATCTCGCTACAGTCCCTTCTCAGCACTCCAGAACCCAAAGACCCACAAGACGCAGAAGTGGCCGGCATGCTGATCCGCAACCCTGCAGAGTTTGAACACAAGGCACGCGACTGGGCGGTCAAGTATGCCGGTGCGCCCAAGAAGGAGATTGCAGAGGGCAGTGGAGGCGCGACTGCAGAGTCCATCCGAAAGAAGGCGCAGGTTTCAAAGCAGAACGAAGAGAAAGTCAAGATGGCAGCGTAGGTGAAACATGATAGTCCAACCATGGACCCTGCTAACGATGCATAGATACAAAGGCTACAATAAAGACCTGGTCGACCGCTTCGTTGCTATGGGCTTCGATGTAGAGGCTGTGGTCGAAAGCTTCGAATACGTTGGCATAGACAAGATGGGAGGCGAGGACTACGAGCTTGAGGAAGCCTACATGGGAGATATCACCGCTCGTCTGTTTGGCGAAGCCTAGCGGTTTGTGTCTTTTTCCAATGACCATTCACAGGATCCTTATATCCATTTGTACTTTTTTCCAAAGTGTTTACGTTGGCCATTATTCCATGTTGCATACAATTCATAACAGGCAAAGGCGTCACGGGTCAATGGTTCATTTCATGGCGCAGGCGCAGGCACGATGAGTCTTGTTCAGAGATGTACTTGATTCTGGTGATTAAACAATACATTACATCCCCAGACTCCCTGGACAAGGGGCAGAAGGGTTGTGATTGCTCATCCCATGTACTTGTCCGCGCGCTTAAGCAACAGCCTCAGTGGCTTTGATGATACCGCGTCCTTCAGCAGATTTGCCAACAGGGTCAGTCTTGATCTCAATGTCCGCCTGACCGTAATAGGTGACCTTGTTGGGCAAAGTGTGCTCAACGCTGATGGCTGTAATGCTAGTTAGCAAACCTGTCCCCAATGCCTCCTGAAGTCTTCTCCTTCTGAATGGGGAGTAGAGAATTAGGGTGTTGTAAAAACTTACTGGATCCATTCCTGGTGGCCTTGAAACCTTCAGAGCAGGTGACTGAGCTGTCCTGGGGATTGTTGTAGATATCCTCGCAGTGGCCGACTTGGCCGTTCATGCCTTGGTACTCAGACGAGGTGAAGTTTGCAATGAATGTCTGGCTCTTATAGCCCGAGGAAGCCCAGGCCTGACGGTAGATCATGTCCCAGTTGCCCATCTCGTTGACGGGCTGAGCGGCGGCGAGCCCAGAGGCAGCGGCGGCGAGGAAGAGAGGGGTGAGCTGCATTTCGGCGGTTGATTTGGTGGTTGGTTGAAGTGATAGTGTTGATTGAGCGAGTGTCTGAATGTTCGGTGGTGAGAAAAGTGGATTGTAGGAACGATGGTAGACTTTATATAGGTAACAATTCTGCTGTTCACCTCCTGGTGGTTACTAACAAGCCTTGGAGTTAGAAGAAAATAAGTTGGGATAGTATGCCTTGCCACCTTGGTACAAGCAATATTGTCGACAACTGCGCACAGGCAAAGGCACGCCCCTTCCTTCAAAGTTCCCATGGAACGTCCCGTTGTTTCTCGTATTTCTGGAACTTTGGGCAAATCGCCCGCAGCCGCAGGTAGCCAAGTTCGATGATTCGAGCATCACCCGTCCACTTGTTCCCCACTGCGTTTATAACGTACTGTTACGTACTAACTCCTAGTGGCCAATGTCAGCGAACAGCCTCGCATGACGACGTCGTGTGTGCCATAATTTTGAAGACTGAGTACCTCGTATACGCGGCGATCGGAGCAGGATTCGGCTACAACACTCCTCAGGGGCGATAGGAAATTTCCCTGATGGGCCCGAGTGGGGTAGAGCGCGGAGCTTAATGGCTCCTATGATGTTAATTTTAGTAACACTGACATGTTTTCCTGCCACAGTAGGTGTCGGGGAAAAGGAAACAATGAAGCCAAGCTGCGGTAGTACATTGTAGAGTCGCATGAAAAGTATGGAGCTTTGCGGAAATATCGTAGAGGCAATTGGCGATGGCGATGGCGTCTCGGTGCCTATGACCGCATTTCAACCTCATCGCCCATCTTCCATGCTTTGGCCCTCGTATCCCGTCCCGTCTGGTCTTCTTCAATCATGCCATCATTCTCGACAATACCACTCTCTCCACATCTTCAATCCTCTATTGCAACCATCTCATTCGTATCCGACTTTGCCTTCCACCTCGGGGAACAAGTGACTCCCCACACGCTTTCGGCGGTGAGGGTAACCGAAGTGGATACAATACAACGTTGCAGGCTTGGGCCCTGAATTCAATTCACAAACTGTCCAAATCACAGAATGGGTAGACCACCTGCAAGAGCACCATGGCGCTGGCGAAACCGTTGGTTGGCTCCTGAACGAGAAGGGGTACGGGCAATGCCGCCAGGGGCTGTCCGACAGAAGGTCACGTGAACAAAACCCTCTGGAATGCCCAGTCATTTACCCGTAGCGCATGTTACTCTAGTCCAAGTATACACCACGATAGTAGATGGAACCCGCCGTTACGCATTACAGTCTATTGTCCATGGTACTTGAATGCGTCAGTTTACGTAGATGACTGCTCTATTATTGGAAATATAGCACGGTGTCAATGGTGGTCAGAGATGATCGAAATATTGCGCAATTTTGTATCTAGTAGAATGGGAGGAGATTTTTTTAACTCTAACGTTATCTAAAAAGTGGGTCGTGTTCCCGTACCACCGTACAGTAGGCAAGTGTTATTCGTCCGGGTCGCAATAAGAAAAGTGTCCTGGTTATAAGCCTTACCTTACCCGAATCAGTTAACATCCTGCAGCTAGTAAATTAGTACTACAGGGGATGCCGCTAGATAGCCTGCGACCAGTATTAATAGTATTAATATATAGTATTAGTAGTATTACTATAGTAAAGGAAAAGGATTAACTTGCTATAACTTAGTATATTTATAATACTACTAGTATAGGGCTCTATAATAACCTTATACTCTATAAAGCCTTAGAGGACACCTAAGAGTTATCTAAGTTAGTTAGTAATATAGATTAAGTAAGCAATATTTCTATAAGATAAAAAGTATAATAATTAGGTGTGTTTTAATAGATTTTAGTTAATACAGGATATTAGGTTATAGCTATTGCCTAGTTGCCGCAGGTAAAAACTCTGCAATAACACGTAACTAGGTATAGATAACCTAATATCTACTAATACTATACACTAATACTATTAATACTAGTCGCAGGCTATCCAGCAGCATCCCCTGCAGTACTAATTTACTAGCTGCAGGATGTTAACCAATTCGGGTAAGGTAAGGCTTATGACCAGGACACTTTTCTTATTGCGACCCGGACGAATAACGTTTCCCCCGTACAGTATGTAAGCGGAGGTTTCGAGGCAAGTATTCACGACCTCTGCCGAGCAGTTAGCAACAACGGTTCCTTGCGGCCGGGAGAAAGAGCAACAGAGGTCGCGTCCTGGAGCTTCCAGCCGCATGGGTAACGAAGTCTGCTACTCTGTGATTGTGATGCATGTAGATTCCCTTAGTTGAATCCTTTCCTAACGAAATGTATTTCATAGTAGTAGTCCTTTAGTTCTCTGCTTTGTCCTACGTTAAAGATCACAAGGATGATAATGTGCGCTAGGTCATACTATGGTACTATGCAAAAGTGCTCACCGTGGGTCTACTTGCAGGGGTAAAGTGAGATTAGAAACACTGTATTCTAATACTTTTCATACAAATCCATAGTAATTTGTATAGTAATCAATGCACCCCTAAGTTTCTCGATGTTTCTATCTCTCAGTCCTCAACCCCTATTACTACCCCTACCGCCACCTCTACCACCACCTCTACCACCACCTCTACCACCACCTCTATCACCACTATCTATCACCACTATCTATCACCACTATCTATCACTACTATCTACTATCCAGACCTACCTACAGGGCAACAGCCCTCATACGAACGACTACGAGAGATTGTGCGCGCAGCCTAGGACTTAATCACACCTGATTAGCTCTAATTACTAGTAAATAGTATAAGGGCTTGCTGCCAGGCAGTGATTAAAGCCTAAGGTGGGCACACTAAGTATTAAGAAACTTCGAGAAATGAATATATTACTGTATCACCCCAATCTAGTATAGTTAGATACAGGGGTGGCTCAGGCGCCCCACAGGGGAGCACTTATGCCTGATACCATAGTAAATCGTTTGGCCTAGCAGAGAGGGTCTAGACCATAAACGAGACTCTTTAGTATGTGCCAACTAGCATGTCAACTCAAAATAAAGGGCGGACTTAATGCTCCATCGCGGAACATCTTTAGGATCATGTTCCTCTTGCAGAACGGATAATCAGCGAGCCATATTCATCGTACAGCTAAGCCATTACGCTTTCCTTCCTTCCGACCTTCGTCCTCCCCAAATTTGTCTAGGAGCTCTGCATGACTTGATAACAGTCTAATAGCATCTGAAGCTCGAGTATTAGCCTTGCTATCGTTATAACAGTTGAAACTGCAAGACCAGATATGTCCCTCCAACCTGGCCCAATAAGAATGACAAGTAGACGACGATAGTCCTAGACCCATTTCGCACGGATTTTGCGCAGCAAATAGCCAAAAGCTGATGCGAGGAGCTTAATAGTACTAGACGCTAAAGTGATGTACTCATATCTGGTTTTGCAAGAGTTGGGCACTGTTTACGAAGTAGTGGAGCTTGCAACTGCTCACAAATTTTGCGTTTTATGCGCTGCGGGAATAGCCGTCTTAGTTGTCAACCGCCCTTTGCAAGCGTCTCTAGAACTGGGCTGAGAAAAGCATCCCATAGCCCTGCCTCCTGCATGTTTGTAGTCGCCTCTTCGTTAACACCCCATGCTAACATCCGCCCGTAGAATCGAACAAGCTTGAATATACCCTGCACTGAGCGCGTTGAAAGGTGAGCGAATTTCTCATCAGGCCCAAGCACTGTTACATCGCCTTTCAAGCTAGAAGGGTATGCGTAGTAAATCTTATGCTCGTTGCCGATAATAGTGATGGCGGGCTCAAGGAGGTGTGCGGATCGGGAAGTGGTCAATCCCTTCTCGGTGGAAATAGTGGCATTGTCTGCTGTATCTTCCGGTGTCAACAGTAGATCGGAAGTAGGGAACGCCAGGCGCGCCAGTTCCATCTTCTTCCGCAGGCTTGCAGCCATCCATATACCTATCTGCAGCTCTGCCTCTTTCGCATCGCCGTTCTCGGGCTTGACCTCAATTCCCGAGAAAAGTGCCAGGCGCTGAGTGCAGACGTCCGACGTATGCGATACAACGGGCATTTTCGCTGCCAATTGTGTGTATAGTTCCGCGGTTTTAGGGTCAAAACACGAATACGAAAAGCAGAAGTCAGTCTTGCGCGTGAGTGCTACTCTTCTGTTGGGTGAGGCTGATGTGGGGTCGGAGACAGTGGAGAGATATGACGGTTGAATACTTTGCGATTGCCTGCAAACACCAATCAGTAAATCGCACAGATAAGGTAGGGCTGGCTTCGGAAGATACCATACACACTCTCTAACTTGAATTTGGTGTTGCAGTCTAGCTTCATAGCGAGCTCTATCAACGGCCAGACGACGCGATAGCACCAGGCGTTCTCATCGCGCCCAAACTCGGTGCAGTGGCAGGCGTCTTGGAAGATATTCTTGAGACGATCGAGCGCATTTACCAGCGCGGGGTGACTAGCTGGCCGTGTATCATTGTGGTCGTATGCTTCTGAGTCGATGGGGTCCATGGCGAGAGAAGGGGCAAATAGTGTGTCCGACTCTATCGCTTTGCGCAGGCCAGCTGGTATGTAGCTGATCTCTAGACCTTCGCGACGGCCCAGGCGACCGCGAAGGCTGTTGATGCGTGCAGAAACACTGGCGGACGGCGGCTGTTTCACTTGGTTGAAAGGGCTGAGAGATATGGAAGGCGTTGCAGTACGCAGTTCAGTGAGATTGCGCGTGGGGCTCGAGCTCCTCTTCGATCCTTGTGGCGCCGTCAAGGTTGTGCAGTCTGACAGATCTACTATGCTGATACTGCCCGCCTGCGATGCGCTTTGGGTTGGCAGCAGGCCGTCGGTATCGATGCGTTGTCGCTTAGGGCTCGAGTCATGCAGCATATCGGAATCGCGTTGTCGTTTTTGCGAATGCAGTGTTGGAGAAGCGGGAGATAGTGCAGTAGTATTTTGCAGCCAGGCTTGTATACGATCAAGTGTGGACGGTGAGCTGGACGAAGGCGAACAGAACTGCATGGCCGCATCGACTGTAACGTGCAAGCGGTGGCACTGGGCAGCTTTGCAGTTGGCCGACACGAAGACGATTGCGCCAGCAAAGGAAACGGCGGCCACTAATAAACATTGGTGCTTTCTTGTTGCAGAGTGTAAAGGGCTTGGGCTTATACCCAAGTGTTGCAGGAGGGATATTAACTGGATCACGGAGCATCTTGATCCGATCAATCCTGATTAATACCCCTGTATGACCCACTATCTGATTAACTGCCAGCTTACTACTAAGTGCCTAACAAAAAGTAGGAGCTCTAGTAAGGAAGGTTTACTAATTATTTACCTTCTAGTAAGGGTAGCTAAAGCTCTATATATATAAGTATAATTATAGTAGATATAATCTAATAATCTATCTCCTAAATTATTCCTAACCTTAGTAATCTAAATTTCTATAGTTATAAGCCTAGTTCGCGCTTTACCTTATTAAAGATTGTCCTATCTATTTAAGCGTATTATTTAACTTAGACACTAAGCTAGCAAGCTTTACTCTTTCTTTATACTATTTCTTAAGTAGAAGCTTACTTATTACTCTTCTATGTAAAGGACTTAGGCTTATGCCTAAGCCTAGGTCTATAAAGGGCTTAGGCTTATGCCTAAGCTGTAACAAGGCTAGGCTAAAAAATAGCTAGCGCTTACTAGATGCCTAGGCTAGACTTGAACAAGGTTCATGGGTTGGCACTAGGGTCTAGCACTATTATCTGTTGAGATATATATATTATACTATGCGAGGATTACTTAGCTTAAGTATTCTCGTGCGTACCTTTTGGACCATGGCCAAATTGGTACAGACAGGGGAGATGACGTAGTATTCATTTTATAGGCAGGGCGCCTACCTTGTTACATAAGCCTAGGTCTAACACAAGACAGACTAAGTCTAACACTACTACTAAGCGAACACACTAGACACCTATAAAAAGGCGTGGAGGGCTTATCTCTCCTTTAAGATACTAAATACTATTATTAACGCTTATTATATTCTCCCTTAAGGCTAGTCTATAATATTTTAGTATCTTCTTCTAAATATACTATAATAGTAATAAGAGATAGACGCGCTAGATATTTAGAATAACTAGGTACAACCTAATATAGTAGAAAGGCTAATATAATAGGTCTATAGATTAATAGAATAATAGGCTTAAGACTCTACTATAATAGCTATACTACGTTAATAGAATAAGGAAATACGCAATTAGATTCTATCCTAACCCTCCTCTAAGCCTGCTAGGTTTAATAATATACTGCCTCTACCCTCCCCTACCTTACGTTGCAAACCCTTCCTAGTTAGCTTACTATATAATAGCACTAAGGTAAACTTCTCCTCCTAGTAAATAACTATAGAGTTTAAACTACGTGTAGATAAGGTCTTTATTAGGGATAAGGAGGCAAGATTTATATATATTTAGTCCTAGTTATTACCTATAGTCTAGCGCGCTATAGCACTATACTTTAAGGATAGTGCACGTAAGCATTAGGATATAAGTAGGTTTCTAGACTACCTAGCGTTCTATTATAGCAACTATTATAGGTAGGAGCGCGCCTAAGTTATATTAGAACACTTATATTAGGGCTAAAATTAGCCTTTTATAGAGTTCTTTATAAATTTTATATAGCTCCTTATATAGTTAGGAGGTTTATACTAGGATAATAAATAAAAGCTTTTATAACTTTAGTAATCTTTTAATAGTTATATACGCTTAGTTTCCCTTAATAAGGGAGTCTCTAGGATAAACTATAATATAGCTATAGAGGAATATAAGATAATTATAGTAGATATTAAAATAGCCTCTCTAGAACTAGGTTTTCTTTAGGCTAGTAAGTCTAAGGAACCCTAGTAGAAGTCTAACTTAGATTAGGATAGTAACACAAATATAGTAGAAGTAGTAGCCTTATTAAGTGCACCTACTAAACTACTAATATTATATCCTAACTAGATCCTATAGGACCTGTTTAATGTATAGAAACTAGCTAAGGTCTACACCTAGTGTAGATAGGGCAGTTATTTTATGCGTGTATGCCCTAATACCCTATTACTATAACTAGTAGGTGTTAAGATAGTTGTAGTATTAGCAAGCGGCCCTAATTTAGGAAACTAGCTACCCCTAACTTTAAGCTAAGTTAGGGGTATAAGGAGGATACTATAATAGAGGAATTATTAATAGTAAAGGCTATTAAGTGTCCCCTAGATATTAAGGCTAGGTTAAATAATCCTCCTTTCTTTATTCCCCTCCTCCTAGGTAGAGTAGAGAACGTGTAAGCAATAGTTAATTTAGGGTGCTAGTATTTTAGTGCAGTTAAGGAAAAGTTAGTAAGATAGATTAGTAGGAACTTTATAGATATTCCCCTGTAACCCTTATAACATACCTAGGGAATTACTAAGGGTATAAGAATTTTATAGTTAGTAGTATTAGACTATAATTTAGATAGTTAGTAGTCTTAGCTTTTAGCCTATATAGTACCTAGTCTCTCCTATTAACTAATACTAGGTAGACTATAGCTATACAGAGAGGGCGTTATTATAGATATTCTATAAGGCGAATTAATAATTAGGAAGGTAGGAAATATAGTAGTATAAGAGAGTAGGAGACGCCTATATCCTACCTATATCTCTATTATCTTAGGTTTAGTTATAGCAGGGTTGCTAAATTAAGGACCCTAATAGGAAGATATATAGGTATAAATTTTTATAATAAATATACTAGATATTTTATAAGTAATATATAACTTACGCCTAATAAAATATCTAGAAAGTATTAATAAGGGAAGTCTGATTAATATACACACTATCTATATTGCTAATAGCACAGTTCCCTATAAGCCTAAGTATAAAACTAGAAAGACAAAGTTACTACTAGAACTATAAGAGTTTAAGGACCTGTTTAACAAAGAGTTAGCAAGCAGTTTGCTGCCCTATTAGGGCAGTATAGATTACTATATTTAGTTAATAACTCTCCTAGATAGAACCTAGCCTAACCCCTTATAGGGTCCCCTATACCCTATATCTTGTAATTAATTACTAGAACTAAGAATACAACTTACTAGATTAATAGATAAGGGCTAGATCTAAGCAAGCTCTTCTATAGCTAGAGCTCTAGTGTTACTAGTAAAGAAGCTATTAGGTAGTTAGCGCCTTTATATAGATTACTAGATGCTTAATAGCATAATAATATTAGACTAATACCTACTACTACTTATTAAGGAAACTTTACGCATACTATCTAGCGTAAATTAGTTTATAAAAGTAGATATTTACGCTACCTTTTATAAAGTTAGAATAGTAGAAGGTTATAAGTCCTTAATAGCTTTCTACACCTAGTTTAGGTTATATAAATAGTTAGTATATCTATTTAGTCTTAGTAGTGCGCTATCTACTTTCTAATAATATATTAATACTACGCTTATAGAGTTACTTAGACTATATATAATAGCCTACCTTAATAATATCCTAATTTATTTAGGAGGAGACTAGTTTAACTATATAGAAAAAGTAAAGTGTGTACTTATACTATTAAAAGAAGCAGGACTACACCTAGACTTAGAGAAATATGCTTTTAGTATTAAGGAGGTACGCTACCTAGGCTATATTATTAAGGCAGGCAAATTACTTAGACCTAACCCTAAAAAGCTTAGGGTAGTACAGGAATAGGAATCCCCTAGGAATATAAGAGAGGTAAGGAGTTTTCTAGGTTTTACTAACTTCTACTACAATTTTATCGCAAAGTTTTCTAAAGTAGCAGCACCTTTAAACTAACTAACTAGGAAGGACACCCTATTCTAATAGGGAGAGGAGGAATAAAGTATATTTAATACACTAAAAAAGGTATTTATATCTAGACTAGTACTAACGCAATAGGACCTAGCTAAAGAAATATTATTAGAAGCAGACTATTTAGGATACGCTCTTAGGGGTTGCTTATTATAAAAAGTTAGGGGCGTCTAGCGCCTAGTTACTTACTACTCTATAGCACTAATACTAGAGAGACAAAACTACACTATATATAATAAGGAATTGCTAGCTATTATTAAGTATCTTAAAAGTTAGTTAGCAGAGCTATAGAGCGTTTATAAGCTATTTATAATATTTACAGACTATAAAAACCTAGAGTACTTTACTAGCCTCTAAAGCTTAAGCAAGTAATAGTGCTACTAGGCAGAGGAACTTTTAAAATACTAGTATATCCTATAGTATAGACCTAGCTATCTTACAGGACAACCTAATACCTTAAGCAGGTAACCACAAGATTTAAACTCCTCTAAAGCAACACTATAGTTAGTAATACGCCCTAAATTAATCTAGGTTATAGTATTAGAAGTAGAGGAGGCGTCTAAGTTACTAAAGGGCGCTAGCCTCTTTACTAACCTATATATATAGACACTATAGGATAAAGTAGTATTAGAAGATAAGATATACTAAGTGCGTCTTAATGTGGTTTAGAAAGGCGCTAGGTCTTTCGTAGTTCTGGTTAACTCAAAGAAATAGATTAGGGACTATGTAATTAGCGCACATAGCACTTTGCTTTAGAGGGGCGTTATTTAGTTGCTAATATATGAACTCCTTATGACTGCTATTATATAGTATGTATATAAATTAGGTTTAGTAAGATATCTAGGAAAGAATATAATATTTTAAATACTACACTGCAACTATTATTAGGATAGAATATTAGGAGACGTTGCGTACTATATCTAGAACTGCTATTATTATAGTGCTTATATCTCCTAGAAGCTCTAATCGGGTCTATTATAACCTATACTAGTTACGTTATAATACTAGTCCTAAATATCTATAGACTTTATAGTTAACCTACCTATAAAAGATAATAGTAAACCTTAGTTTCTATTAGTTATTACTAACAGATTATCTAAATACGTTTAGCTTAAAGTAACAGTCTCTATAGTAACTAATTATTATATAAGGATCTTCTAGGATAACTAGTAGTAGTTCTAGGGCTTCCTATCCTCTATTATTACTAACTAAGGCTCTAACTAGTTAGGATCTTTCTAGATAACGTTGTGCTAGATAATAAAGATAAACTAGTTACTGTCTACTACATACTACCCTTAGACAGACGGCAGGACAGAGCAGGCAAACTAAGAAGTGTAGGTAGTGCTACGCATAATAGTATGCTTTAAGCAGACTAACTAGCCTAACTACCTACTAGC